TCCTAGTAAGTAATGATCTTTGATAACACTTCATATTTCATAGAACTATAATACTAACTTTAAAACAGAACTTGCATACATTGATTACAACTGAAAATCAGGCAAAACTATATACTTATAAAACTGAATTTGATCACTATCTTTAAGATAATCTGACAAATTTACACATTAAATCAATTCTAGAGTTATAGAAAATTGTTAAGAGTACATATTTAACTATTACACTGATAATATGTGATATTCTGACAATTTCATTGACAGAGATGAAAATGAAGTGAAAGTTCAACTCAAGTTGAGATATTTATCACTATTATCAGAGACAATTACAAGAAGAAACAATCAAGAAACTCATGATTGTAAAATATAGAATTATCAGACAGTTTAATACCTCTGATCACAGTATATCAGAGAAGTGTAGTTTTTATAAGAAAATGAAGAATAAACTTACACAAGAATGTATTTAGTTGTTTCATAAGCATTATCAATAATTGTTATCAAATTCTGATTATATAAGCAATCACTGAATGAACTGAATGAGACTGATTTTAATCTTCAGTCTCAGTCTCATTCTGATTTTGAAAGAATAATTATCTTTCACAGTTTATTCTGAGAAATTACTCTCATTTCACTGTTCTTGAATTAAATCTGGTCATTTTTCACATCATTTCTGTCATAAATGATTCATTTTCAGATTTTTTTGAGACTTGATTCTGGTGGGACTCACGCCAAGAAATGTATGAGATCAGATTAAATGAGATTAAATGTGAAATTCATAATCTCACTGACCAGTCTAGATATGACATTATTCTACAATATCTTGTCTGTAACTAGCTCATGAAATGTCTCATCACTTCTCTTACAAGATTTGCACTGTTATCAGTTAGAATCTCACACAGTATGTCACGCTCCCGGCCGCGCCAAGGCCCTGTTGCGGTTTCACACGGCTCATCGCTTTCATACAGATGATTTCATCCTGTCTGAACCGGTTTTCAATCACTCTATGACATTATTCAGATATATCATAGAAAGATCTGATTGATGAATATAAGAACTCTGCTTCTATATAAGGTCAGCAGATTACTTTTTCTTAGCAGTGAGATGCTGCTGAGATATCACTTCAGCTATTCTCACTCATGAAATGAGAGAAGGTATCTGCTCATTATCTATATAGAATAACTAGATGCTGGCTTCTTATAAAAGAAGTCAGTAATTCATTTTTTCTTCTACTGAAATATATATAAGAGTTACTGCATGTCTTATACAATCTTCTTAGTATACTAAGTATTATATCTGTGATATTCTCACAATAACTCTGTAGTCTATAAGCTCACTATTTAAGCAAGATAGTCAAGTTCATCTATACAGCTTCTTAAACAACTATCTCTATATAATATCACTGACTAGTCATCACTTCAGTTCTGTTATATTACAATTCAAATCACTTAATCTGATTATATATTTGAATCAGTCAAGCTCTAACAGACTGATATAATCTCATACATCTGCACTGAGACTGATCTGATCTCACTCTCTAAGGGAAATGCTACATCATTCTCTAAAGTATGTACATCTCTATCTTAGCAGAAATCTGAGATTTCTGAACTCACTGTATATTTTAATATGAGCTCTTCAACTGCTTTATTATCACTGCAGCCTCTACACACCTACATCTATTATAAAGATAGAGAGATTAAGATCAGAGATTCTCTGAGATACAAGAGAAACATCTTATCTGAATTTCACAGCTTTACTTATATTCTTGAACAGAAATTCTGTCTTAATCTGAGTCAGTATAATACTCATAAGATATAAGTAATATACACTATCAACCTTCTTGAAGACATCTCTGTGACTACTTGAGTCATCAAGAAGAGAGAGCTTGAGCATATTAATACTGTTATAACTTGAGAAGAATTCAAGAACTTTCTACTGAATTAAATTAAAGATTACTGCAACTGCAGCTTCACAGCAGTACAGTGATTCAACTTATTATATTAACAAGATAATGAGAATTCTTCTGATTTCAATGCAAGATTTGAAGAATATTAGAAGAAATTGACTGATAATTTGAATCAATTAAAAACACAGCTTTATCTTATGAAGCTGACTCATAAGATATGAACAATGATATTATAATATCAGAGTTCATCAATTAATTACACTGAGCTTATCAACCTGACTTCTCAGATCTATTTGAATAATCAATTCTCTGAGAAAAAGATTAATAAGATCTCTTCTAAGTAACTTATAATGAGATCTAAACAGTGCTGTGATGACTTCAGTATAAAGAAAGTAAAGAAGAATTTCAAGTATTCTGATTCTTCACTCACTGTGAAGAAACATTAAAAAAGATTTGATAAAAATCTCTATTTTAACTGCAGAGCTGATGATCACTATATCAGTGATTATAAGAAGCTGAAGAAGAGAAGAAACTGAGAAGATATCTTCTCAAAGTTAACTTCTCTTCTGATAAACATATTCATGAAAGATAAAGAAGAGAAAGAAATGAAGAATTGATAATTCTCATATCTCTGAGTTCATATTATAATCACAATGCATACTCTGAATGAGAAGATACTAGTGAGATGCCTACTTAACTTCAGAGTAGATATTAACTTCATATTCTATTTCTTTTCTTTAATGAAGAATTGAAAGAAGATAGATCTATCAGATCATGCAAAATTTATCAATGAAATAAAATATCATTATTTTGACACAATTTAAGCAAAGTGTGTAATCACAGACTCAGAAGAAATCTTCAAGAAGAGCAGTCTGCTTCTTCACACAGTTAATATCATAGATGAGAATGTCATTCTAGATCTTTCATAATTGAGAGAAAACAATTCTCTCATTAACTGAGTCACTCAGATGTGACAGTACTATCTTACTAATGAAAAGACAGTGATAGAGAAATCTGAAGAGTTTCATTGAAAGAATCTTGAGAAAAAGATTGAGTTGATATACTGTGTAGCAGATGATTGAAACTTGAGAATAGATGAAGAAGCTATCACTCTTACTGCAAGATTAATAGCAGTATCTGTTATTAAAGACAGATATACACAACATCTCTTTACAGATTTTAAAAATGTCTTTTTAAAAAGAGAAGCAGTGAAGTTTTCTGATATCAAGATATAATATAAGATTTGCCTTGAAGACAGTGCAACAGTGCTGTACAAGCCTCTTTATAACTTATCTATAAAGGAATTGAATATTCTGCATAAATATCTTGAAGAAGTGTAATTAAAGAACTGAATATATTTATCAAAGAGTTCAGCAGAGACATCTATACTCTTTATACTCAAGAAGAATGATAGACTACATCTATGTGTAGACTACAGAGATCTCAATAAGATAATAGTTAAGAATTACTATTCATTACTGTTAATTAATGAGATGATTGATTAATTATCTGAAGCAAAGATATTCTCAAAGATTGATATACAGAATGTCTATCATAGAATCAGAGTTAATAAAGATAATGTTTGAAAAATAGCTTTTTATATCAAGTATGACAATTTTGAATATCTTGTTTTATCTTTTAGTCTTTATAACACTTCAGTCATCTTTCAGATCTATATAAATGAGACACTTGTTAACATCTTCTGCATAGTATACCTGAACAACATTCTAATCTTCTTAAAATCAGAGAAAGAACATGATACTCATGTTTTGTAAGAAATCCCGCTTCTCGCGGATTCTTTACCCCTATTTCTATCTCTCATGTAATCAATAGAGCTAGCGGCCCTTGGCTACACACAACTATATAGACTGGAGTTCACAAATACTATTTACAACTCAGCTTAAATGCTATTATAGATTTAACTTCTACATTTTATCTTTCTACTGTAAATACTTCTAGTAGTTAACAGTACATATTACATCAAGCTGTAAACACCTGAATAATTGCCTGTGAGTACTTATTCTTACATTTCAAGCTCAGTCAGTCAGCAATCATCTGTTATGACTGAAAGAACTAGAAACTCACATGCTTCAATTCCTGTGAACTCTACTGCAGACACTCAGAAGTAGTCATCTGAACTATGAATAATTTCTATAAAAGAAGTCTCAGAGGACTTATCAATCACTCATAAGACATCATTCTCTGTATCTGTGACAGAGAAACCCTCTGAACTCACAAACAAATCAATCTCAGTGAAGAACATTCTTGAGCATCTTCTACAGAATTAAGCTATTTTTCTACAAGAAATGCTTACTGTCTGTAAACACTCTCAAACTGAGTCTCTAGACATGATCTTCAGAGATACTTATAAACTGAAAAGAAACTTTCTTAAGCTGTGATCACTTAAGGCCACTTATCAAATCACAATCTATAAAAGCTTTTACAAGTTTATATTTAAAATTGACTCACAAGTCTGACTGTGTAACATGAAAGATGAAGACACTGTCATCTATACAATAACAGACCTCTATTACACTGAAGTCAAGAACTGGCTGAATCATCTAGAGAATAATTATGAGAGATCTCACTGATCTGTTCTCAAGACCTATCTAGAGAACAAGTTGAAAGACTTCACAAGCTGAACAGAGAATATCTGAGCTGCAATCATTAATATTAGAAAAAGAGATAAGAAATCTGATAAAGACTACTCACAGTACTTTATGAAATTATGATATGAATTAAAGTCTGTGAAAACAGAGCTCTGAAATAAGATCTGAATGATGATATTCATGAAAAAGCTGAATAAAGATATTGTAAGAAATCCCGCTCCTCACGGATTCTTTACCCCTATTCCTATCTCTCATGTAACCAATAGGGCTAGCGGCCCTTGGCTACACACAACTATATAGACTGGAGTTCGCGAATACTATTTACAACTCAGCTTGAATGCTATTATACACTTGACCTCTACATTTATCTTTCTACTGTGAACACTTCTAGTAGTTAACAGTACATATCACATCAAGCTGCAAACACCTGAATAATCACTGCAAGCACTTATTCTTACATTTCAAGCTCAGTCAGTCAGCAACTGCCTGTTATGACTGAAAGAACTAGAAACTCACATGCTTCAACCCCTGCGAACCCTACTGCAGACACTCAGAAGCAGCCACCCGAACCATGGATAACCCCCATGGAAGAAGTCCCAGAGGACTTACCAACCACTTGCGGGACATCATTCTCTGCATCTGTGACAGAGGAACTCTCTGAACCCACAAATGAACCAATCTCAGTGAAGAACATTCTTGAGCACCTCTCACAGAATCAAGCTATTTTTCTACAAGAAATGCTTACTGCCTGCAAACACTCTCAAACTGAGTCTCTAGACATGATCTTCAGAGACACCTGTGAACTGAAAAGAAACTTTCTCAAGCTGCAATCACTTAAGATCATCTATTGAATCACAATCTATAAAAACTTTTGTGAGTTTGTATTTGAAATTGACTCACAAGCCCGGCTGTGTGACATGGAAGATGAAGAAGCTGTCATTTACATGATAACAGGCCTCTATTACACTGAAGCCAAGAACTGACTGAATCATCTAGGGAATGATCATGAGAGATTCTGATGATCTGTTCTCAAGACCTATCTAGAGAACAAGTTAAGAGACTCTGCAAGCCAGACAGAGAACATCTGAGCTGTGATCATCAATATTAGAAAAAGAGGTGAGAAATCTGATGAAGACTACTCACAGCACTTCATGAAATTGTGGTGTGAATTGAGACCTGTGAAAACAGGGCCCTGAAACAAGACCTGGATGATGATGTTCATGAAGAGACTGGATAAAGATATGCAGAACAAGCTCATTGAGCAAGGCTCTAAGCTCTTGACTCTGAAGGAACTGATGACTCTCATTCATCACTTGCAGATCACTGTGAGAGCCACAGACCTGCAGAGAGTGGATTATCAACTGGCCCTGTGAGAGCCAGAACAACAGAGGACAGGTTTGTCAGGAAAAGATGACAAGACACAGAGAGATTTGTGTCTGACTGCTGAGCAGAGAGAGAGAGCTTCATAAGCTTCTATGAACAGAGTGCATAACAGAGAGATCAAGAAAAAGAGACTCTGCTTCATCTGTTCTAAATCAGAACATCTCTGTGCAAACTGTCTGAACAAATCAAAATAGGAATTTGAGAAGTCACAGACAGAGTCAGTAACAGCCTTCTTAAGGGCCTTGAAGCTGACATCTGAATCTGTTGCTTCTTCAATGAAAATGCTTGCTCATGAGAAGAGACCGCGCCGCAGTGCTGCTGTCTCACAAGCATGAAAAGCATTGATGAACTCAGGATCCCAGGTCACTGTGATGTCTCTAAAGCTCACAGAGTGAATGAGCTGAAAGATGAAGACTGAGAACCTGCTCTTATAATAAGCAGAGTATGAGAACTCAGATCTGAGAGCTGAGAGACTCATGAGAGTTATCTTTGAATTGCAAGATCTCTCTGAAACCTGAAGAAGATTTGTGAAAACTGTGATTGTTGCAGATATCACAGATGACATGTATTTGAGACTTGCATGACTTTAAAGACACAATCCACACATAGCTGTCTATGAGTCAGGTTTATACTTCTGATCAGTGTTGACAGACTCACTCACAGAGGTAGAAGCAGTTGATGCTGCAGAGTTGATTAGAGGAGACAAGCCCATCTATATAATGACTTTGTGAGTGTCTGAGGACCTTGCAGTCATGGAAACTGAGCTTCAGATATCAGAGAAATACTGAGATCTTGCAGAGATGTTCAGCCCAGCTAAGGCAGCTGAGCTTTCTTCTCACTGTGAGGAGAATCTGATAATAGATTTGATAGAAGAGCAGAAACCCTTCTGAGAATCAATCTATAAGCTCTCTCATCATGAGACAGAGGTCTTGTGAACCTATGTGAAGAAGAATCTGAAGAATGACTTCATCTGATCTTCACAGATCTTCACAGAAGCCTCTGTGATGTTTATGAAGAAGAAGAATAAAGATCTCAGATTGTATGTAGACTATCACAACCTGAACTTCAAGATAACAAAGAGCTGCTATCTTCTGTCTCTGATTGAGAATGTGATCAACTGTCTTGCAGAAGCTGTCATATTCACACAACTGAATGTGATCAATACATATGCATGACTGTGAATATGATCTGAGAATGAATGAAAGACTGCCTTTAAAACTGCACTGAGATTGTTTGAATATCTAGTGATGTCTTTTGGTCTGACTAATGTCCCTGTGATATTTCAGTCTTTCATCAACAAAACACTTCATGCATATCTGAATGTCTTTGTGATAATATATCTGAATGATGTGGTGATGTACTCCATGAAGAAGGAAGAACACACTGAGTATGTGTGAAGCATGTTGAAGATCTTAGATGAGGCAGGACTGTATGTTAAGCTTGTGAAGTGCAACTTCAGTGCTTGCTGGATTAATTTCCTAGAATATGTAATCATCATGAATGATATTCAGATGAAATCTTCATGAATTGAGACTATTCTATTATAGCTGAAGTCAACTAGTATTCATGAGATTCAGATCTTTCTGAGCTTTGTGAATTTCTATAGATAATTTATCTTTGTGTTTGCAAGAATCTTCTTGACTCTTACAGACATACTGAAGAATGAAAATAAGAAGAAGTCATCCTGCAAATGAAGAATGAAAAGATTGTTGAGAAGAGAGAACTGTGAGGACTTTCTTATCTCAGAAGCTCACAGAGCCTTTACAAGGTTGAAACAGGTATTCACAGACACAGTGATGCTGTTTCACTTTGATTTCTTACTCTTAATCAGATTGAAGACAGATGTCTTCTTCTTTGTGATTTCAGAAATAGTCTTGCAACTACAGTCAAATGAGAACTGGGTTTCAGTGACCTTTTTCTCATGAAAGATGCAACCTGTGAAGATCAACTATGACATTCATGATCAGAAGCTTCTTATAATAGTGGAATTCTTTCATTACTGATGTCACTACTTCAAGGACCTTGTGACAGTGATTACTGTTAGAACTGATCATGACAGCTTGTGACAGTTTGCTTCAATCAAGGAACTCTTGCAGTGACAGATTTACTGAGCTCAGAGACTGAGTGAGTTCTGATTCAAGATAGAACATATCAAGAGAACTAAGAACTCAGTGAATGAATCCTCTCACAGGCCAGACTATGTTAAGAAGGCCAGGGTGACAGATACAGAGAGACTAGAGAAGGCAGAAAAGCTTTATAAGATGCTTGAACTGAGTGTTGTGAAGAGATTGACTGAAGAGTCTCTCAATCCCCTGTGAGAGAAGAGAAGAGAGAGAGAGAAGAAGCCTGCACAACTACTCTCTATAACACTAAGAGTCAACACTCTGAGGATCTCTGTGAGAATCCTTGAAGAGAGTATCTATAATCTGAAGAGTTTGCAGGCTTTGAGAAGTGCTGTGAAAGATCTGGTGCAAGAAGAAACAGAGTATAAGTCTTCACAAGATCTTCTATTCAGATTATCTGAACTGCAACTGAAGAATGAATATGCTCAGTATATTTGAAAACTGCTTGCAGCAGGGATCAATCCTGCAGAAATAAAGAATTGAAGAGACTTAAATAACCTCTTGTGAAGAGAGGGCTGGATTTATGTGCCTGTGAATGAGTTTCTATATGTAGAACTCATCAAAAGGCATCATGACTCTTCTCTAGTGAGTTATTTTGCAGACACTAGAACTCATGAGCTGCTTACAAGGAAATACTTCTGACTGAAGATGTAAGAACTTGTGAAGAAGATAGTGAATTCTTGTACTGTTTGTCAGGATTCATGGGTAGTATAGTTCAGACCATATGAAGAACTTACTTCTCTACTCATCCCATGGAAACCTTGAGAACAGCTAGGAATAAATGCCCTTGTGAGCCTCTCTGAAAGCAAGGACATATATGATACCTGCTTTGACAGTGTGCTGATGATAGTGAATTGCTTCATCAAGATGACACACTTTATATTCACTCACAAGAACTTGAAGTCAAAGGATTTGACTCACATCTTTGTCTGCAATGTGATCCAGTTGCATGAATTGTCTGTGAACATTGTCTCAGATAGAGAATCAATCTTTATAGAAGAGTTCTGATCTGATCTGATGACTATACTGAAGATCTCACAAGATCTAAGCACAGCTTTTCATCAACAGACAGATGATCAGACAGAACATCTGATAAGTATATTGAAACAGTATCTGCAGTGCTTTGTCAATTATAATCAGAATGACTGAGTGCATTGATTATCACTCATGAAGTTTGTATACAACAACTCAAAGCATGTCAGCACAGATAAAACCCTCTTTGAGATGCTCACTGAGACTCATCTGTGAATGATCTTGATGAACCCGTGAGAGTACACTATAGAGTGTGGTGATGCCTGTGAACAGGCTGAGAGAATTCAGAAGATCAGAGAGAAAGCCTGTGAATTCTTGAGAAAGATCTAAGAGTATCAGAAGAGATACTATGACTTCAAGCACATTATGAAGAGTTTCAAGAAAGATGATAGAGTCTGACTGAGTCTAGAAAACATTATCATACAGAGACCTAGTAAGAAGCTGAATCTCTTACAGACAGAGTCTTGTAAGATTATGAAGAAAGTTAGCTCACAGTTCTACAGATTGAAACTGTCATCTGAGTTGTAGATGTACAATGTTTTTCATGTCTCTTTACTTCATAAATATAAGGAATTCTCAGGAGAGAACTCTGTGACTCATCACTCTGTCTGTGAAGTACTAGAGAGTGAAAGAGAATATCAGATTAAAGAAATTATTGACTCAGAGAAGTGAGATTGCAAGCTCTGGTTCAAGATTCAGTGACAAGAGTATTCTGATAAGATGAATGAGTTCACTTGAGAATCATTCAGACAGATAAGACATCTGCAGAAGCTGAGACATGACTTTCATGCTGTGAATTCTGATAAGCCAGAATGACACAGTCTTCACTAAGAACCTGGTTATGACAAAGACATTAACACTGTCATTTGTGAATTCTAGTCTACAAGATGATGAGTTTCTACTGGGATGAACAGTCTGCAGTGTACACAAGAAAAGAAGAAAACATATTCTCATTAAAGCTAAAAAACAAGAAAATAAACAGGGCTGTGAATGCAATTTAGAGATTAATAAAGAAAAAACAAAGAAAACTCACACTCATATCATCAATATTCATGACACTCAACTTTCTTACAACTACCAATTTCTCTCTTCAAAGAAGCAGAAAGCATCATGCCTGTGATACAGACAATTGTTGCATTTGATGTGAAGACTGTCAGAAATGCACAGACTTCAGAGAAGCTGAACACCAGGGCACATACAGTTGTAGCAGAATCTTGAAGACTGATTATCTGTGCATGTGACCAGATACTTCTTATGAAGCTGTGTTCACTCTCTCAGTTGTGCTGAAGTATTCAGCCTGAAAACAATGAGAA